TTATGTTTAGCAGTCCAGTGCTTATTCTACAACACCACACCAGGACTACCTGGTTGTTGTTGTTAAGTGCCATTGAGTCAGTTCCAACCCATAGCGACCCTGTATAGGGTTTGCAAGGAGCAGCTGTTGAGCTTGAACCACTGACCTTGCAGTTCAAACCAACTAAGCAGTCCAGTATATTAACCCACAGCGCTGCACCAGGACTCCCTGGTAATCCATGGTATATCCAATATCCTTTGCCAACACCATCATTTGAATGTATCAATTCTTCTTCAGTCTTCCTGATTTTTTGGACAGCTTTCACATGCATATGTTGTTGTTGTTATGTACCATTGAGTGGGAGTGGGTCTGACTCGTAGCGACCTTACATAGGGTTTCCAAGGGGGAGTGGCTGGTGGGTTTAAGTCACTGGCCTTCTGGTTGGCAATCCAGTGTTTATCCTACAGTGCCACACCAGGACTCCATATGTTGTTGTTGTTGTTGTTGTGAAGTGCCATTGAGTCGATTCCGACACACAGCAACCCTGTATAGGGTTTCCAAGGAGCAGCTGGTGAGCTTGATCCACCAACCTTGCAGTTCAAACGACTTGCAGTCTGACGCATTAACCCACAATGCCACACCAGGACTCCATAGGACTCCATATGAAGTGATAGGAATTCTCATGCTGTGGATCAGGTACAGCTTAGTCCTCAAAGTGAGAATTTTAACACTTTAAAGAGATCTTTTGCAATAGTTTTGCCCAACACAATATATCATTTGATTTCTTGACTACTACTTCCATGGGGGTTGATTATGGATGCAAGCAAATTGAAATCTTTGACAATTTCAGTTTTTTCTCCATTTATCATAATGTTATTTGTCCATTTATGAGGATTTTTGTTATATCTCTACATGCATTTTTGTATCGTATTTTTATACAAATAACAGCATATGTAATGAGCTTTTTTACCAGTTACGATCTCTTTACTCATTAATTTCCTATGTCCACACAATTCATGTGTTCATTGTATGTGAAAGAAAAAAAGGGTACATATAACATCTCCCGTTGATGTGGTTGTGAATGACCTTTTGGGAGAGCAATTTAGTAATACCTATTCAAATTCAAAATGTTCATAACCTTTGATTCATCATTTCCACTTAAGTTAGGAATTTACAGAAACATTCCCTCTAGTATGCAAAGCAGTAAGTTTATTATTTGTTGAGCTACTATGTATAATACAAAGGAGCTCTGGTACCATAGTGCTTACGACTCGGGCTGCTAATCGCAGGTCAGCAGTTTGAAACTACCAGTTGTTCTGCGGGAGAAAGATGAGGCTTCCTACTCCCGTAAAGATTTACAGCCTCGGAAACCCTATGCAGGGTTGCTGTGAGTTGGAACCAACACCACGGCACACAGGCACCACCACCAGCAGGTATAATACAACAATGAATGCATAGTAGTGACTTAATTGGAGAAAGATATTAGAATAGCTAAACAAAGTAAACAGCTCCACATGTAACAAGGTGGAACTGCTCCATAGAGTTTTCTTGGCTGTCATCTGTAGGGCTGCTGTAAATCACAATCAACCGAACAGCAGTGGGTTTGTTTTTTCAGTTCTGAATTTTTTATAGAAACAGATTTCCAGGCCTTTCTCCCAAGGTGCCACTGAATAGGTTCAAATCGCCAACCTTTTACTTACAAACCAAGTGCAAATCATTTGAGTTGCCCAGGAACCTGAGATCTATCTTTTTTAACTTTGTGGATAATATAGGCATTAAGAATATAGTTATAACAAGAAAGAAAGTTTGCTGTTTTCATGCAATTTACTGGCAGGCCAATAGTAAAGAACTAATGTGATGTTCATTAGCACTTAAGTCTGACATTTCTGAGGAAGTAACATTTCAACATGACTTGGAGGGAACAAGACCAAAGCTTGTGGCTGATAGGTAAGGGTGAGAGTATTCCTGATGAGGTGACAATAAGGGACCCAGAGTTCTAGTGGGTAAAGGACATATCTGAACAGCTGAACTGAGATCCACATGGTTGGGACAAGGACATCTGCAAGCTGTCTCTTTTTTCCAGGCCCTCCCTCCCCTCTGCCTACACTATCTCCTACCTGCTCATCTCACAGAACCACTGGGGGATTTCCGAAGTCCTAGAATTATGGACTATTAGAACCAGGAGGACTCTGGGCCTTCTTGCCCATTGGCTTTGTTCTAGAGATAAAGAAGCTGAGGCTCACAGAGGGAAGTGCTTCCTCAGGAAACAGGGTTGTGGTGGGGAGGGGATCTCTGAGGCCAGTGCGTTTTCCACAGGGACTCCAAAGATCATCTGGGGAGGGAGACACCAGAGGAAGAGTGAGACTGCTAAGGGGTTGAGATGCTACAGCCCTAGAGAACCTGGGAAAAGAGTTGTACTTCTAGATTCCTACAATTCAGTAGAAACTGTAAGAAAACTCCTACACTCCTCTGCTACCCCAGATCCACCATTTCTTCAAGCCCTTTTCAAGAACACCTTCATGGAAGCATTTCTTATAGATGCATTGTGTTAACACTTTTTTCTTGTTTCTCTGAATTCGTTCAGTGTATACTCTGATGTGGATTTGTAATCACTGGTGTTGGTGGGTTCTTCCTTCACTGTCTTCCCATTGTTATATGAGGTATACCCTTCCTATCCTGCTTTACACACACACACACACACACACACACACACACAAATTCCCCTCACGTTGGGCATTTGGGCCCTATTCAATAAATACTCTTAGCTTACTCTGAGTCCCCTGTTTGGTTCCCAACTCAGGATCGCATTCTCTGCAGTATTTCTACATGGCTGTATCTGAGCCAAGCCCAGGAATGCCTGCATTTGCCGCCTCTGGCTTTGTGGATGACCAACCCTTCATCTACTATGACAGCATGAAGACGAAGGCAATTCCTCTTGCTCCGTGGTTAAAGGAGAATTCAGATTACTTTGATGATGAGACCGAAATCTTCGTAAGTCGGAAGAAGATTTTCCACTTAAATCTGAGAAATGTGCAGGAATACTACAACCAAACCTCAGAGCACAGCTTGAACAAAGAGAACTCACAGAAGCCAGCAGGTAGGTGTCTGTGAGAGAGCCCTGGGAAGCAGTACTTCCCACTACACCCCAGCCTCCCTGGCTGGAAGGTCCTCTTGACAAATATTTTCCATAGGGTCAGGCTGGGGACAGGTAGTGCTTGAAAATGAAGACTACCAGTGTGGTCACAAAGAGGAACAGGCCTTTAAACAGTAATCCAGCCAACATTCAGCTGTTTTATTAGGTCACAGATCTGTGCTTTGGATGAATCTTTTGGATACTGGGGTTGGGGAGCCAGAAAAATATATGACTTAGAGTTCGCCCTCATGGAATTTACAGTCGATGTGGGGAATCATTTATTACCCCTGTGCAGCACACCAAAAGACATCAAAGACTATTACCTTCTTAAATGCCAAATGTGAGAAGAAGGGAAATGAGTTTCTAGAAGTTAATAGGTGACAGACCTCAGGAGTCCAGAAGAGTTTGATAGAACATGACAGATGATTAGGATTTGATTCAATGGAGAGAACAAAAAAGATATCTCAAGGAGGTAGGAGTTAGGATGCTGCAAGGTGTGGGATTCCATTTGGCATAGTGAGTTCAGGAGACAGATAGTAGGTTAATAGATTTTATCCAGTGTTTCCCAAGTGCTAGCCAGTGTTGTAAGGAGCTCTGGTAGCATACTGATTACGAGTCAGGCTGTTAACCTCAAGGTCAGCAGTTCGAAACTACCAGCAGTTCTGTGGGAGAAAGATCAGGTTTTCTGCTCCCGTAAAGATTTACAGCCTTGGAAACCCTGTGCAGGGTCACTGTGAGTCGCAACCAACTCCACAGCACATAAACAAGTGTTTTAAACAAGTTTAAGAAGGGCCTTGAATGACAAATTAAGACACAAAAGCAGAGAGCGGTATTATTAAAACTGAATAGTCTGTCCACTCAACTTTGTACTAGTTAACCTTTATTGGAAAGCACAGTCAGCAAAGGTTCTCCAGTTGTATGTTACAGCTGTGACAATAGATACTGACGATACCAACACAAATGACACCCTGTCCCTGCCTTCAGAGAACTCACCATGTAAGAGGATAGAGACGGTACACAATGAGGTTTGATACATGTGCAAGTCTTGGATTATGAGTTTGAGCTAATAGACTGAGTATCCAGAGTGATTAATACAGACTGGGGCAATCCCAGAGCTGTTTATATTTGACTTTGTAATTCATCAGAGAATTATTCAACAGAAGTGTGGTGATTGTTAATATGAAGCTATGTGCATTCACTAGTACGTCAAAGAAAACTAATGGATGCCCTCTTTTTTCATGGTGTGCACTAGAATTCTGTTTTCAGGAATTTGTACTTAGAATCTGATGCTGTTAGCACAGAAGGGGACCTGACAGAACATAATCTAACCCTTCTGTTTGCACTAGATACACACACAGAACATGGAGACTGAATAACTTGCCCAGGATGACACAGTTCATGGCAAAGTCCAAGTCCCCATTCACTACTTTACAAGCCCTAGAATCAAGCCCAAGCAGTGACCAGTCCACACTGCAGAACTGAGTGCTGGGAAAGGAGATTGGAATCAGAGGGCCTAACGAATTTGTCTTGGGTGAAAATGTCACCTAAGGAGAAACTAGAGCTTCAGTGGGGTATGGTATAGAGAGCGGGGATAATTGTGAGCCATTTCTGGACTGATGATGTCTGATCTGGGTGGTGAACAGGGCCCCACACCCTTCAATTCAGCTATGGCTGTGAGCTTCAAGATGACAACAGGACCACAGGGCACTGGCAGTACGGCTATGATGGTAGCGACTACCTGAGTTTGAACATGGACACTCTGCAGTACACGGCCATCTCATTTATCGCCCGTTACACCAAGCATAAGTGGGAGGCCAACAGGAATTCCATACAGAGAGACAAGAACTATTTGGAGAATGAATGTATCCAGTGGCTGCAGAGATATTTGAAGGATGGATGGGAGAACCTGACCCGTACTGGTAATGATCTTTCACATCATACCCACCCAGCCCTCCCCGACTCTAGCTTGGCCCACTTTTTTCTCTAGAGGTGCCACTCTGACAGAGCCCTGGCATATAGGATACTTACTGTAGGAAGGGTGGGGCCACTGTGCTGAGGAAGACTTCTCCATATGCAAGCGATATGGATCTGGGGCACCTCCCATCAGGGGTCTCCTGGGCAGTGCTAGTCACCCACCTTTTTTAGGTTTTCCCAGAAGGAGGCTACTCTCCAAAGGCCACTGGGCTTGTTCCTCAAACACTTGGAGGTTTTTCTTACTTCTGGTCCTTTCCCTAGGTCCCTGGGTGGCTCAAAAAGTTAAAGAATTCAATTACTAACTTGGTTGGCTGTTTGAACCCTACCTATTAGCATCATGGAAGAAAGGCCTGACCATCGGCATCCTTAAAAGTGATCCAAGAAACTTTTGTGAAATAATTCTACTCTGTAATACATGGGGTCACCATGAATCGGTGATAGTGATTTCCCACTAGAAATAAGGGCAGCTGGGCCTTTTCCCACTAGAAATAAGGGCAGCTGTACCTATAAACATTTATCTGGAAAAATTGTCCAATGACTTGATAAGACAGTGAAGGTCTGTGAAGAGGCCCTTATTCTGGAGAAGAATATTTGGACTAAGCTCTGAGCATCTATTCTTGGATCCCTGTTCTGACTAGTGCTACCTAGAAGTACTCCCTGCCTTGCTCTGGTGGCACCTAAACCACCAGGAGTAAATGGCATCTTGGTCTTTGGAGTAGATACTACTCACTGCTTTGTCTACCACAGAGACCCCCCATACACAAGTGACCCACCACCCCAGCCCTAATGGGAAGGTCACTCTGAGGTGCTGGGCCCGGGGCTTCTACCCTGCGGAGATCACACTGACCTGGCGGCAGGATGGGGAGGACCGGACCCAGGACACGGAGCTCATAGAGACTAGACCTGCAGGAGATGGGACCTTCCAGAAGTGGGCGGCCATCGTGGTGCTCTCTGGGGAGGAGCAGAGATATACGTGCCATGTGCAGCATGAGGGGCTGTCTGAGCCCCTCACTCTTAGATGGGGTAAGGAGGAGGACAAGGGTAGCGCTGCTTCTCAGCAGGGTCAAAGCACAGTGCCGCAGTTGGGCTCATTCACTCTTCTTCCCTTTTCAGAGACACATTCTCAGCCCACCATCAGGGATGACAAGATACAGTGTATCATTGTAGTTTTGATTCTTGGAGTTTTGATCACAGGACTATGGTTGCTAGTGTTGCACACTAGAAGAATGAGAGCTCAGGTAAGGAAGTTCTCAGATTCTGAAAGACCTTGCACCTGGTGAATGGAATGGTATTGCAGCTACCCCCAATCGGCGCTGAATGGGGTTCTGCTTGAGCTTCCAGTCTCCAGAAAGCTTGGGTCTTTGGTACACCTGGAGACCACCAGGAAAATCTCCCTACCCCTGCCCATTTTAACTCACCAGAACTGTATTCAGACCACACCTCCTTAAATACCCCAGTCTGGAGGAGAACAGATGGGCTCTTGGTCTCCTTTGGTGATGTAAGAGTACCCCCTCCCAAGTTTACTGTCAATAAAGAGACTCTCCTTCTCTTTCTTTCTTTTTCTTACATTTTGGCACCCAACGTGGGGCCTGGGAGAGTAAGCTGAAGCTCCCTGGCTGGTTCTAGGTTGGCTTCGCCCAGCAACCCCACACCCTCTTCTCTTCCTCTCCTCTCGATCTAAGGCGCCTTAGGCGGCGGAAGCTAGATATGAGATTAACTTTTCCTTCTGAGACATCTCAGAGTTGTGTGCAAACCAAGTCCAATTGAGGAGGCTTGGCTGGGGTTACTCTCCAGTAGCCTCTAAAGGGACTTGCAGAGTTCACAACTTTGGTCACCTGTCCAGGCAGTTGTCCCCCTTGTTCTCCTTCCTAACCTCTTGGCTCTATCAGAACACAGGACCACGTTCCAGACTGGCTCCGACCATCCACCACCTGCTGATTCCTCCCTAGTCCTTCCCATAGGGAAGGTAAGTTGTCTCTGGAGGTTTTCTCTAAGGTACCTAGAGAACGCCTCCTCTGGAAACATCATGTTTCCCAGCCACCTGCTTCTTACTGAATACATAACAATTATGGGAACCAATATCTCAAAAATAGAAAAAGAGACCCCATTAGGATGCCTCTTGGTCAATTAAAAAAAATTTTTTTTTTCATTTACAATCTGAAATCAAATCGAAACACCTCTATGCTTTGAAAACGGTACCTTCTATTATGGAATTCTCAGAGATCTAGAGAAATTCCTCCAACAGACGAAAAGTGGTCTGGAGGTCCTCTTTGTCTAAGCCTTTTCTATCAACCACCATAACTCTCTTAAATATCTATTTTCCTTATGTTTCAAATTTCCCATTCCCACCAGGTTGTTGTTGTTGTCAGGTGTCATCGAGTCGGAACCGACTCATAGCGACCCCATGCACAGCAGAACGAAACAATGTCCGATCCTGGGCCAACCTCACTACCGCTGCCACACTTGAGTCCATCAGTGATGCCACCTGGCCGATCCATCTCGTTGGGGGTCTTCCTCTTTTTCTCTGACCCTCCGTCTTACCCAGCATGACATCCTTCTCCAGCAAGTGTTCCTCCTCCCACCAGGTGGCCCCATCTAAATTCCACCCTCTGACAAGGCCTCACAAAAGGCCTTATCCCCAAGCAGCTCGCCCATTCTAAGCTCCACCCCCTCCCAAACCTGTTCTTGCTATTTAGCCAGGCTCTCCTGTCACTCTTCTCTTCACTCTTCTCCGTCTCTCTCGTTCTCTCTCCAGTGGACTGTGAGAGACTGCAGATTCAGTCCGGGAGGATTGTGAGGTTCTGACTGGGGCACAACCCAGTGAATTCTCAAAACTCCTGAACCTAGGATCTCTTTCTCCAACTGCTCATATATGAGTAGACCGCTTTTCTCCTCTCTCCTCTCTCTTTCTCTCTCTCCTTCTGCAACTGACCACGAGGGATCAGGGACCCTTTCAAGAGGATTGCGAGACCAGGCCAGGGCACCCCCGGTGGTTATCAAAACTTGTGTAAAGTCCCTTTCCCCAACGGCTCACTTCCAAGTAGTCTGTATTTTCTTTTACAAGGCTCCAGCTCTCAGAGGCCATTCAGTGAAATCTTTCCTCCCCCAACACCGGTCACAAATTCCTTGGTCTAGATAAGTCAGCCCCTGGCACTCCCTCCTGAGGATCCCAGGAGGTTCTGCCTTGTCCCCTGATCCTCGGAGGATCACTTGGACTCCCCTGGTAGACTCCCCTGGCAGAGGGCGCAGGGAAGCCCATAACCCCCTCCAGGCCATCTGGTCTGACAGTCGGACCTCCGGCACCTCCCTTCTCACCCGTGGAAGGCAGACACTGCCTTTGGCAGTGACTCCTTGACCCACCCAAAAATGGGAGCTGGGGCTTTGCAAATCACCCCTCCCCCCTAGGCTGTCTCCTGAATAACCTAAAGAAATTACATCTAACAGAAATCAGTCTGAAAAATAAATAATTGATTTTGGCACTATAGCCTGGTTGCAATTAGTCAGTGGCCAGAAAACAGCACTTTTTTTTTGTTTGTTTAGTGTTTTATTGTGAATTATATGATAGTTTACATGGGAGAACATTAGTTTTACATTCATTCTGTCGTATATCCTATCATTGCCATGGTTTCAATCCCCTCCATGCATCATCAACCAACCAAAGGGTATACCCGGCAAGCCTGCCCCCTACACTAACCCCACCCCCAGTCTTCAGCACACAGTTGCTTTCCCTCTCTGAATCTAAAGCCCCCAGCTGCTCCATCGCTCCACATCATTGTCACTGCCTCCATCTCAGGCATCACCGCTTCTCTGGGTAGGGTCCCGCTCTTGGCTCTTCTCCGTTGATGGTCCCAGGGACCTCTGCTCCTATACTGAAAAGTTAATCCCTTCCTTGCTATAAAATATCTACCTTTACATTTCCAACCTTCACAATCAGTCCTGATAACAATTATTCACTATTGTATCACAAGAGAACCATCTGCATTTCATTTCATCAACTCCGCCTAAGAAGATTGGATGCTACTCACTGGAGATTCTGCCTTCCTCCAGGTTCCCTCTTGAAAGCTTGTAAGCCTTTGTAGCCCTACCCACCCTCCAGCCCCCCATTTTGGGTAGCCAATGTCCAAGTTGCCCATCCCTGTCTACTCTGTTGTGGAGGGGGTGGGAACGATTCTTGCTGTAAGAATTTGTTCCCACTTTTGACCTACTGCTTCCATAGGTGGTCAAATTGCATCAGATTACTCTTTTTTTCCTTTTCTTTCTTCTTCTGGTTGAGCTCTGATCATCCGGTCATTGAAGCCAGGTCAAGTGGGTGTTCTTGTGCATATGCCCTCTCTTTTTATGAGCTGAACGCTTCACTCTCCATATTGTAGGGCTTAGTTCACCACTTCATTGTTGTTTTTCCTTCACTTCCCCTAATCGGTGACGAGCATGGTCACCAATCAGAGCATGTATTCCCATTGAGTCTTAGTCAAGGAAGGGGAGAAAACAGCACTTTTGACTTCCAAATTTTCAGAGACATTGACAGCTTCTATAAAGAAATGGCAAAATGGCAGGTTCCCCACTTCCAAGTCTTTTTCTCCTTCTACTCCCCTTGCTCACCTCACCAAATTAACCTGACTCTGCCTGAATCTCCCTTTGATCCTACAAATGAACATCCCTCACCCTTTGAACCAGCCTTTGCACCTTCCCCTCCTCCTCCCAGAGAATCTTTCAATAATGAAAGTCGAGGCTTGAATTTTTTCTTCAGTTCCCCCAGCTTGAGAAATGCTGAGTGTTTTCTTCCCTTTTGGTTTTCTGATTCCAGATCTTTGCACATTTTATTGTAATATTTGGCTGTATCTTCTTGAGCTGATCTTTAAAATTTTCTATTCAGCTCTTGGACCTCTTCATTTCTTCCATTTGCTTTAGCATCTCTATGCACATAACAACAACAACTCTATGCTGGAGAGCAAGTTTCAGTGTCTCTTCTGACATCCATTTTGACCTTTTCCTTCTTTCTTGTCTTCTCAATGACTTTTTGCTTTCTTCTATGATGTTCTTGATGTCATCCCACAACTCTTCTGGTCTTCAGTCTTTAGTGTCTCATGTATCAAATCTGTTCTTCAGATGATCTCTAAATTCAGCTTGAGGACTAACATGCGCCTGACCCAAGCCATGGTGTTTTCAATAGCCTCATATGCATGGGAAAGCTGGACAGTGAATAAGGAAGACCGTAGAAGAATTGATGTTTTTGAGTTATGGTGTTGGAGGAGAATGTTGAAAGTGCCATGGGTTGCCAAAAGAACCAATAGGTCATTTTGGAAGAAGTACAGCCAGAGTGCTCCTTAGAGGCCAGGATGGCCAAACTTCATCTCTCATAATCAAGACATTTTGTCAGGAGGGAGCAGTCGCTGGAGAAGGATATCATGTTTGGTAAGGTGGAGGGTCAGAGAAAAAGAGGAAGACTCCCAACGAGATGGAATGACCAAGTGGCAGCATCGATAGACTCAAGCGTGGCAACAGTAGTGAGGTTGGCCCAGGATCGGGCATTGTTTCATTCTGCTGTGCATGAGGTCGCTATGGGTCGGTACCAACTCAATGGCACCTAACAACAACTCCTCCTCCACCCATTGTCCCTTCCTAAGATTCTCCTCCCAATCCCAGTACAGCACCAACTATCTTCTCCTTAAGGGAAGAAGCTGGGGTCAATGGCCCCACCCTAGTGCTTGTTCCTTTTTCTATGTCTAGTCTTTCCCAGATATAACAATGCTTAAGTAGATCCAGAGAGGGAGAGCGACTGTGTGCTGAAGACTTGGGGGAGGGGGTAGAGGGGGGTAGTGTAGGGGGCAGGCTTGCAGGGTATACCCTTTGGTTGGTTGATGATGCATGGAGGGATTGGAACCATGGCAATGAAACAATATACGATAGAATGAATGTAAAACTAATGTTCTCCCTTGTAAACTATCATATAATTCATAATAAAACATTTAAAAATAAATAAATAAAAATAAATCAGTCCAACATTTTCAAATTAAATGAAATTCATAAACTATTATTCATGTTAAAAGTTGAAAGTTTCAACAGTGGAAGAATCATTAATACTTATGATGATGCTCCATAGTATAGAACACTTATATAGATCATGAATTAGCTTATGTTAATTAATAGTTCTTTAGAAAGAGATCAAAACTGTCTATTTTGGCCAACTTTTAAAATATATTTTCCAGGCTGCTTGATTCAGGAAAACTACTACAATTATATTAGTAACATGCTTCCTTCTTATATTGTAGGTAAATGGCCACTTGTAAAATATTTTAAATAAAACTCTCAGCCTGTTCCTGTTGCGGGGCGTCGGGAAAGAATGCTTAGGATCGTTTTCTGAAAACCTGGTTAAGTTCCACAAGGAGTTCCTTCGGACAACCCAGTCTTTTAGTTTAACTTGGCATGCTATTTACACCTTGACCGCAGAGGAAAAGGAACTCATATGGAGAGCAGCAGAAGTCCATGCTAATGCCTTCCATGAGCAGGCCCCCACCCTTCACCCTGTGGTGAAGCGGCAGATGCCATCTCTCTGCAAACAGCCTAATTGGAATTATCAACATGGAAGTGAAGGCACCCAACAAAGGGATTACACGATTATTTATTTTATAGTGTAACAGATAAAAATGCCCATAAGGCTGTCCATTATGATCAATTATGTGAGGTCACCCAAGGCCCCAATGAAAAACCTGCCCTTTTCTTTCCCACTTTTCAGAGGTCATGATAAAGTATACCACCATGCACCCAGAATCAAGAGAAGGCCAAACTTTCCTTCATTTGCAGTTTATTTACCAGTAGTCTGAACCCAATATTAGAAGGAAATTACAAAAGTTAGAGGAAGGTCCTCAACCTCACAATGAAATCTTCTAAAAGCATTCTTAAATGTTTTTTTAACAACCAACACGAGGAACAGAGGAACCAAAAGGTAAAAAATCCACATTCAGTATCAGATGCTAGTGTCTGCCACCTCACACTCACCCCAGCCCAGAACAGGAAAAAGCACAGCCGTCCCTGGACCGTGCTCTCAATGTGGGCAGGCTGGACACTGGGCAAAAGCATGGCCTAGCCTGAGGCCACCGACCAAGCCATACCCAAAGACTGGTCAATGGGGCCACTGGAAGATGGACTGCTCCAGCCAGGGATGCCCTCCCAGGTCAGGTTCAGTCCAATCTTCAGCCCCCAACCACTGGTGAAAGACCCTTCATCCTTGTTAGTTCTCTTCAGAAAACTGACGGTGCCTGGGATTCTCTGCTTCCACAGCAAATATGCGCTCAGAACCCAGGGTAGTAGGGATGGTATCCAGTAAGGCCATCTCTTTCCTACTGGACACTGGGGTAAGTCTTTCAGTTCTAACAGAAATGAGCAGTGCATTCTTCTCTTCCTCAGTCTCAATCATCGGAGGAATGAAAGGCATACCTGCCACTCCCAAGCAAACACCACCCCTCAGTTGTTGTTCATATGGAGATTTAACTCATTCTTTTTGAGTAATGCCCTAATGTCCCTTTGCTCTTTTAGGAGGACATGATAGCTTACACAAATTAGGAGCTGTAATACATTTTGAATTTCTAAGAGACAGTCACCCTGACCTTCTATTAGCACAGACACCTGATACCTGTGTAAATCCCCTTGAAACTTCACCAAATAATCCCATAATTTGGAATACTGACATCCTTGTCATCTCTCATCACCACACCCCTATAAAAATTTCATTAAAGGATCCTATGTGTCAAATCGCTGTCCCTCAATACCCCCTTAGTCCTGAGGGTCTCCATGACCTCCAACCCATTGTTTCCCGATTCCTTGCAGCCCACATCCTCATACCTATCCGTTCTCCACAACACTTCTATTCTCCCACTACCAAAACCCAATAGGACATATAGAGTCACCCAAGGCCTCTGTCAGATTAAGCAAACTGTGTGTCCTACTTTTCTAGTAATCCCAAACCCCTACACTCTTCTGTCATGCATTTATTCCTCCACCACCCAAATCTCCTCACGCACTTTACTCTTCATCTTGTTCTAACCAACCCTCACCTGTCACCAATTCAACATTTAATAGACCTCTCAGCCTCCCCGCTATACCAAGCTCTACCACAACACATAAATGATACATGCTGGATTTGTTTAGTCTCTACCTCATCACTTTTTCCAGACCCTCCAGCCCCTTTATGAACATGGCTTTCTCAAACCCCAAAAAGGTCCAATAGTCTCCTCTAAACAGATCACCATAAACATGCCAGAAGAAGCTGAAAACATCCTACAGGGTATCCAAACATTCATCCAACCCCTCCGGTACCCTACAACACCCACCACAGGGCCAATAGGAAAGCCCAAGATTTAACATCCCACCCTGTCTTGTGTATTTATTACCTGACCCAGTTTTCATTAGACTCTCCTGTAGGAACTTTCAAAACCCCTTGTACAAAAACCCTAAAACTCCCACCACCCACATATATAAACTCCTATAGCACCACAACAGGAGCCCCCAAAGTTTGTAGCTTCAAACAACCCCTCTTCAACTGCTTCCTCTCAGTCACTTACCCCCTAAGATTTTTTCACCCCTCTCATATTACACCACCAGTAAAGTCTACAACAACTTCACAATACTGTGACTCCAGACACCCCACATCCACTGATTACGCACTATTCAACATGTGCCTCAAGGCAATAGACCCCCAAGTCAGGAGAGACTGTCACATGTTACCCATTAATAACGTTCAACTGTTTCTGCATACTCAAACCCACAGGTTAGCATTAGAAGCAAGCCACACTCCATCCTTGCCAACTCCATCGCCCTACAACCTTTAGGAGCAGCCCACTCAGCAACTTCCCTGTCAGCATGGGAAAGAGCAGCACATGTGGACAGGCCCCAACATTTCTGAACTTTCCAAATCCAAGGATGTATTAACCCTCACCAAGGAGTATTTTTCCTATGCAGAAAAAACCTTTACATTTGCCTACCTACTAATTGGACGGGTACGTGCACCCTAGCATACATCTCCCCACCCATAACCTATTCTTTTGAAGATCAACCTATATTAGTCTCAGTAAGCAGCCCCTTGAGCAGAAACACAGCTGCATTGCCACTTATCCCCCTACTTGTCAGCCTAGGAATAGCAGCAGGTGTAGGAACTGGAGCAGCAGGAATTTCAGTCTCTAGCCTCCTCCCTAGGAGAAGGTTTGTATGAAATATCTCTGCAACCATCTCAAATTCAAGATCAGATTGACACCCTAGCAGGAGCAGTTCTCAAATTGAAGAGCCCTAGACTTACTTACAGCCAAAAAAGGAACCAGCTGCTTATTTATCAATGAGGAATGCTGGGG